CCCCAAAACCCCAAAACCCCAAAACCCCGAAGGATTAAGATTCTTTGATTTGATAGAAGCTCAAAAGTTAATTTTTAAGGGTAATATATTAAAAATCTTAAAATTAGTAAATTAAACCAGTTTACGAGACTATTGAATGAGGTACTTGTTATTTGCGGAAATCCTATTACTTATCACTTAATGTCTAGCAAATGAAGATGAATAAGAAATTCAAATTAAAATCTTAGTTTAATTTAACAACTCAAAGTAGCTAAATCCAAGCTAAGAATTAGAATAAATGACAAGAGAAAACATTTAAGGTTACTCATTTAACCAATAAACTTAGATTATGAAACCAATAAATCAAATTTCTGTTCATTCTTAAAGCTAGAGTTACAGCCTTTTAAAAATTAATTTAACGAATTAGTCAGACTAAATTAGATTAAATTTAAGAAACTTATAAGAGTAAAACAGTGAAAATCAAATCGAAGAGGTAAAATAGGCAGAGGGAGGAGTCCCAACTGACTAATAAGGAATCATAGAAGAAAATTAGAATTAAATTAATGAATCAATTGGTAAGTAAATTAAATCAATTTTCATCAGCATCCTTATTAATAGATATAGAAGCCTTACCCTCTCAAAATAATAGCACAGACTAGACTTAAAATGATACAGTAAGTGATATCATTAATCCTGAGCCTGAACCTGTGATTGAGCCTGAGCCTGTTACTGATCCTATTCCTGATCCTATTCCTGAGCCTGTACCTGAACCTGTGCCAACTGTACCAGTCTTAATTTACGAAAATATTACTATGGAAAACTTAAATTACTACATGCCAAGGGATAGCACTATGCTTCAGAATTTAACATTAAATCAATTGTAATAGATAGTAGATTTAATGGATATTAAACTAAAATCAAATCTGCTGAATGCTAATGACTACGCTAGTCCATCAAATAACAACTACTTCATGATAGAAATACGAAACATTCGACTATATTCACAGTATTTTATAGATCAATTGCAAATATAGTGGTATTTGATTTAGATAGATGAAGAGTTCCATGATATTTAGATTGATATAATGACTCAGGATTACCTAGCTCTGATTTTTTCAAATACACTTCAGCCAGACAACCAGTATTAAATCATTAGTGAAATTTCATTCCAAAATATGAGCAATATATCTAACAGATACTAAATTTTTGACTTTAATACATTTGACTTTTAATCAAAGGCATTATCTATTACCCCTTAATCAGGAGATGCTTATACTACTGTCTTTAATATTCAATTAATCAAGCATAAGTAGCTCCTTAAATGCGAAATATATTATCAAGATTATCTAGCAAACGATAACTCTTTGAATTCATCTGCTAAGATTATTATATATTAAGATTCAAACTACAGTTCTTAAGAGATTAAATTAAATATAAACTTGCCATATTCCTACCTTGGAAATTTGAGAGTAATGAGTTAATGTTTAAACTCTTCAAGCAACCCTACATTTTCTAATTTCAGTATTAAGATTAACCCTATTAAAGGGCTAGGAATCGCAATTAGTAAGCTAGATTAGACTATTGAAAGACTTGAAAAAGAATTCGATGAGTATTAATTGCTGATGGCTATATGCTTAATTTAAGATTTCAAAGTAAAGATGCCTTATCAAAATCTCAAGGAATTTATCAAATAGATAATATCAATGATTCAAGAAAGATACTAATTAGTTTAATTGTTGAATCTTAGAGTCATACTGGCTGAAATATCAGATTTATTATTATTTCGGAGAGAAATTACATTCCACAATCACGATATATTTCCCTAAATATTTGAAATTTATGAGTATCTTCTGTATTAAAATAATGTGCCAGCTGATATTCTTAATCTAATGGATACAGAATTCAACTATTAATTTATCCAGTCTCAGTCTTAGCAGAGTAAGGAAAGAATTGATTAAAACTTGAAACTATCCTCGATTCTTTTAAAAGTTTATTAGTTGGAAAGCAATATCACCGAGACTAAAACAAACAAATTCAGCAGAGCATTTACATTTATTGCAAATATGATGTCTAGTCATTTATTTCCACTTGAAACTTTTGAATATGAACAAGATCTATTTAGCATTTATGTAAAGAAATTCTCTGGATCATACTTAAAAGCTATTCAGCAAAGAAAGCTAAGATTGCAACTTGGTGGTAACTTACCAAATCATCAAAATTTCACAATCGATATACCTCTTCTTGACCCAATAACATAGGAATAGAATATTGTCATCAGAATAATAAAAATCTCATCAATATTTGAGCATTCTAATTAATATCACTAATCTATTTCAGATTCTGTGTTTATAACTCTATTGAAATCAAATCAAACTTTCCTCTAGAAGGACTAATTTTATCAGCTATAAAAAATAGATATTCAAAATTTGAAAAGACCTGTTTGGTTTCTATTGCCTATTCAAGAAATTACAATGGACTAAAATATTCTTTTCACTAATTGTACCTATTTCGATGAGGACAAAGGTTAATGGAAAGACACTAAATGCTAGTAAAATACACTACCTGGAGAAGCACGAGCAACAGATTTGGAAGAAATACATTACAAGTCCAGGTTATGTTGTACGAGACACTTATCAAAATTTTCTATTCAAGGTTATACAACAGGTGTAGTATAGCTAAATAAGCTTGAACTACTAAATGAAAATTACAACTATAAAGGCTATGCATTAGGTCTGGTAGCAGGTCTTGACTTGACTTTGATTATTTTTATCATTATCACTCTAAGGTTAGATAAAAATAATAGAGCTCTGCTAGATTAAAAATAATTAAGTCGAATGGTTGGTATTTCTCACAATCCGAAACAAAGGTAAAAATTCATTAGACAAATGAGGAAAGCCTAGGTTGAAAAAATAAAGAAAATCAAAGAAATTGAACTTGAGAACTAGTAGATTAATGCAATAGTTAATAATTAGGCTCAGAATATAAGGATAAGATAACTTCAGCAGATCGAGAATCCCGAATAAATATTGAATATATCTGATGGGGAAGGTGACGGAGAACTAAAACATAAGGGTCATATGTCCCCAGGAATATTGTCTCGAAATAGTGAGTAAATTCAATATGAAATTCATGATGATCCTCAAAACATAAGTATGAAAAGTATAGGCACACCTCAAAATATGAATCAACATATATCATTTGAGAGATATCAGCACTCTGAGGGTGATATAAATAATTAGCATATCGGAGTTCCTAGTACTGGAGCAATAGAAAGTAACGATAATAATTAATTAGAATCACCTGATTCCAGTAGTGCTTCTTCAGGCATAATAGATTTATTCTAAAAAATGAAAATGAGAGACAGGTACTTAATGCTTCTAAGATTTCAACATAGAATCGTTTCTTGCTTCTATTTAGCCGAAAACAAGATGTTTTTGAGGCCTATTAAAGCAATAAATCTTATTGCTCAAAGTTTTTTCTCATTATTTATTGTGGCATTGTTCGCATCCTACGTAAGTATATCTATCATATTAATTCTATTCGTTTAGTAATATGCTCTTGAGATTCGATATATTATGATTGCTAGTATATTGTAGTTACCATTGCACTTTTTAGCTAGTTAACTACTGGTGAAAGGATTCTATTTTACCAATAGAGAGATGAAGATTCTGACCATGCTGATATTTATGGTGATTATAGTCATTGGCCATGTATTAACAATAGTTGTAAATACAGGCGATAAGATTACCTCCAGAAATAGATTGCTAATACCTTATTTGATTGTTTTAGGAATCCAATATATTGCACTTGATATGATTATTGCACCTTTGCTCTGCTTTATTGTTATGAGATGCAAGATTGGCTAAAAATTCTATGCCTCTATGATATAGCACAAAAATGATTTTGAATTGTGACTGATTTTTAGTTTATTATGATAAAAATTAATTGATTAATATAGTAACATCAAGGGGTTTTGGGGTTTTGGGG